CTGGAGTAGCTATACTCATACCAGACAAAATAGAATTAAAACAAAGACTATAATAAAAGACAAAGAAGAGCATTACATAATGATAAAAGGGTCAATCCAGCAAGAAGATATACATTTATAAATGTATATGCACCCAACAGAGGAGCACCAAGAGATATAAAGCAAATATTAACAGACTTAAAGGAAGAAATTGAAAGCAATTTCTTGTTAAAGTAGGGGACTTTAACATCCAACTTACATCAATGGACAGATCATCAAGATAGAAAATCAACAGGGAAACATCAGACATAAATGACACAATAGACCCAATTGCTCAACAGATATCTACAGAACATTCTATCCAAAAGCAGCAGAATACACATTCTTCTCAAGTGCTTATGGAACATTCTCCAGGATAGATCACATGTTAGGTCACAAAACAAGGATCAATATATTCAAGAAGACTGAAATCGTATCAGACATCTTCTCCAACTACAAAAGTATGAAACTAGAAACCAATCACAAGAAAAAAAAATGGGAAAAAACATAACATGGAGATTAAAAAACATACTACTGAAAAACCAATGAGTCATCAAAGAAATCAAAGGAGAAATAAAAAATACCTAGAGGCAAAGGAAAATAGATATACAACATGAAGTCTATGGGATGCAGTGCAAATGGTTCTTTAAAATTTTTTTAAATATTTATTTATATTAAAGTATAGTTGTCTATGGGATGCAGTGCAAATGGTTCTTTTAAATTTTTAAAAAATATTTATTTATTTATATTAAAGTATAGTTGACTTACAATGTTGTGTTAGTTTCTGGTGTACAGCAAAGTGATTCAGTTATATATGCATATATACATGTACATATATTCTTTTTCATTATGGTTTATTACAGGATATTGAATATATTTAGTTCCCTGTGCTATACAATAGGACCTTGTTGTTTATCCATTCTATATATAATAGTTTGCATCTGCTAGTCCCAAGCTACCATTTCAACCCTCCCCCATCCCCCCTCCTCCTTGGCAGTCACAAGTCCCTTCTCTATGTCTGTGAGTCTGTTTCTGTTTCACTCTAAGAGAGATGTTCATAGCAATAGAGCCTACCTCCAGGAACAAGAAAAATCCCAAATAAACAATTTACCTATACCCCCAAAATACAGAAAAGAATAAAGTCCAGAATTAGTATAAAGAAGAAAATAATAAAGATCAGAGCAAATAAATTAAAAGGAAACTAAGAAAAAACTAAGAGCTGGTTCTTTGAAAAGGCAAACAAAATTGACCAATCTTTATCTAAACTAACCAAGAAAAAAAGACAGGACTCAAATAAAATTAGAGGTGAAAGGGTAGAAGTTAAAACTGACACCACAGAAATACAAAGGATCATAAGAGACTACTATGAACAATTATACAGCAACAAATTGGACAACCTAGAAGAAATGGATAAATTCTTAGAAACATACACTCTTGTAAGGGTGACTCATGAAGAAATATAAAATTTGAATACACTGATTACTAGTAAGGAGATTGAAACAGTGATCAAAAATCTCCCAACAAACAAAGTCCAGGACAGGACTCAAACTTACAAAAATTGAAGATGCATAATCCCCAACAAAACATTAGTAAACCAAAACTAACAATAGAGTAAAAGAATCATACACCATAATTAAGGGGGATTTATTCCAGGGATGCAAGGATGGTTCAATACCTGTAAATCAATCAGTGTGATACATCACTTTAGCAAAATAAAGTATGAAAATCATATGATCATCTCAATAGATGCAGAAAAGGCATTTGACAAAATTCAACATCCATTTATCAAAAAACTCTCAACAAAATGGGTTTAAAGGGAAAGTACCTCAGCATAATGAAGTCATATATGACAAACGCACAGCTAACATCATGATCAATGGTGAAAAGCTCAAAGCTTTCCCTCTAAGATAAGGAACAAGACAGGATGCCCACCCTTGCCACTTTTATTTAACATAGTATTGGAAGTCCTAGCCAGAGCAATTAGGCAAGAAAAAGAAATAAAGGGCATCCAAATCAGGAAGAAGTAAAACTGTCACTATTTGCAGATGACATCATACTATACCTAGAAACCCTAAAGACTCCAACAAAAAGCCGTTAGAACTAATAAATGAATCCTGTAAAGTCACAGGATACAAAATAAGTATACAGAAATCTGTGGCATTTCTATACAGGAATAACAAACTATCAGAAAGAGAAATTTTTAAAAGTCCCATTTACCACTGCATCAAAAAGAATAAAATACCTAGGAATAAATTTAACCAAGGAGGTGAAAGACCTGTACTCTGAAAAGTATAAGACACCGACGAAAGAAACTGAAGAAGACACAAATAAATAGAAAGAAATTTCCTGGTCGTGGATTGGAAGACTCAGTATTGTTAAAATGTCCATACTACCCAAAGCAACATACAAATTCAGTGCAATCCTTTTCAAAATTCCAGTGGCACATTTCACAGAACTAGAGTGAATAATTCTAATATTTGTATGAAACCACAAAAAGATCCTGAATAGCCAAAACAATCTTGAGAAAGAAGAACAAAGCTGGAGGTATCAAACTCCCTGATTACTATAAAGGTATAGTAATCAAAACAACATATTCTGGCACATAAACAGTCATACAGATCAATGAAACAAAACTGAAAGCCCAGAAATAAACCCACACATATAAGAACAACTAATTTATGGCAAAGGAGTAAAGAACTTACAATGGAGAAGAACAGTGTTTTCAATAAATGGTGTTAGGAAAACTGGACAGCCACATGAAAAAGAATGAAATTAGATCACTATCTTACACTATACAAAAAAACTCACTCAAAATGAATTTAAGACTTAAATGTAAGACTTGAGATCATAACAGTCCTTGAAGAAAACATAGGTAGTCACTTCACTGACATGGGACTTAGAGTTGTTTTTTTTTGAATGTGACTCCAAAGGAAAGGGAAAAAAAGTAAAAATAAGCAAATGAGAATGGGGCAACATCAAACTAAAACTGAAAAAGTTCTGCACAGTGAAGGAAACCATCATCTAAATGAAAAGGCAACCTACTGAAAGGGAGAAGATAATTGCAAATCATATATGTGATAAGGGGTTAATATTCAAAATATATAAAGAACTCATACAACTCAACAACAAACAAACATTCTGATTAAAAAATGGACAGAGACTATGAATAGACATTTTGTCAAAGAATACATACAGGTGGTCAAGAGACACATGAAAAGATGCTCAACATCTAAGATGCTCGATGTCTAATTATTAGGGAAGTGCAAGTCAAATCTACAATGAGATATCAAGCTCACACCTGTTAGAATGGCAGTTACGGAAAGGACAAGAAACAACAAATGTTGGAGAGAATTCAGAGAAAAGTGAACACTCATACACTGCTGGTGGGAATATAATTGGTGAAGCCACTATAGAAAACGGTATGGAGATGCCTCAGAAAATTAAAAATAGAACTACCATATGACCAAGCTATTCTACTTCTGGGTATTTAACTGAAGAACATGAAAACACTAATTCAAAAAGATATATGCACCTTATGTTCACTGCAGCATTATTTACAATAGCCCAAATCTGGTAACAACCTAAGTGTCCATTGACGGATGAATGGATAAAGAAGACATGGTGTATATGTTTACATAAAATGGAATATTATTCAGCCATAAAAATGAAATCCTGCCATTTATGATAACATGGATAGACCTTAAAGACATTATGTTAAGTGAAATAATTCAGACGGAGAAATACAAATACTATATGATTTCACTCATATATGGAGTATAAAAAAAACCCACAAAGAACAAACAAAATAAAACAAAAACAAACTCATGAATACAGAAAACACACTAATGGTTACCAGAGGCAAGAGGATTGTGGGTGGGTGGGTGAAATGGGTGAAGGGGGTCAACTGTACGATGAAGGATGATAACTAGGCTTGTGGGGGTAATCATTTTGTAGTATATACAGATGTTGAATTACAATGCTGTTCACCTGAAACATATATATATATATATATATATATATATATATGCATGTCACACAAAAGCCAAAAAAAGAAGAAAAAGAAATCAAAATGAATTGTGAGAGGATTATTTAAAGTTTTAAATTATTTATACTTAGATTAAATCTATCTTACATGGTAAGAAATGGTGTAAATAATTTTTCTCCACTAGAAGTATAACTTCTAAAAGGAAAGTGAAAAAATCTATGTGTTTCAAGTTGCTGGAAATTGAGGCACAGTTTTGGTTATTTTAAACAGGCTCATTTAAACTGATTTATGTGGGGAACATTTTGAACAATTGCACTGACAGTTTGAAATAAGTTCTTTCAACACTGAACTGAATTATTTCAATAGTTTATTTTTCTCTTTATGAAGCTAGCCAAAATGAGGAGATAAGATAGTTCCAATATTTACATTGAAATTAGTTCAATTAGAACTTTGGCAGTAGAACTATAACCTCCCCAGCCACTAGTTGAGTGTTTTAGAGAAGTTTGCATGTGATCAAGGCATGCACATGCAATGGTTTGGCAGTAGGTAGAGGCCATCCAGAGCATGATAAGTTAGTCTGTGTCCTTTATTCACTCTGCATTCACAGAGTGAAGAATAATGCTGTCACTGGGGGGATTTATCATGTTCACTGGAAAACTGATGTCAAAATTATTAAATGATATCATGTTTTCTTCAATTTATGCCAGTGTTATATTTTTATCGATATTGAACTGAAAGACTTTGGATTGCTAATTTTAAAAACAGGGAAAAATTCTTAGATCCTATCTTCTAGTGAATACATTCACTACTCTCTGTAGTGATTTAGAGCTCCTGATTTTAGGAGCACATAACAATTTTGCTGATTTAATGTGCAATAATTGGCACGTTATGAACACTTTGATCTTGCCTGAGGAATAACTCCTGAATAGATAACCCAAGCTTAGGAAAACTGTAATGTTTATTGACAGTTAATTATTGTTCTTTTTTTGTTCCATTTCCAAATGGGTATTTTTAAATTACCCTAGTTTTCCTAAGGCTGACAAAGGAGAATAAATTTTAGACTTACATTGTCCAGTACGGCAGGCACTAGCCACATGGAGTTATTAAGCATCGAAAGGTGGCTGGTTCAGATTGAGATGTCCTGTAAGAGTAAAATACACACCATATTTCAGGTCTTAATACAATAAAACAAAGTAAAATGGTTATTGATCACACATTGAATCGATAACACTTTGGATACACTGTGAAATAACATATATGAACTAATTAATTTTATCTTTTTTAACTTTAGACTTACATATGTGGCTCACATTATATTTGTTGGATGACATGACTATAGAGTATTCCAGAAGCAAAGATGAAGAAGTATCAGGATTTGGTCTACTACAAGACAAGAAAAAGGCAAAAAAGGTAAAGTAAGAGCAGGATGAGTAGAAATCAGGAAAAATATGATAGAAACAAAATAAACATTATAAGTAATCACTATACATGTAGAAGTCTCACGATCTTGTAAATGAGTTCAGAGATGTTTAGATGAGAGAAATGTGCTTATGAAAGGAAGTGTCTTTTTTGTTTTTCAAGTTATTCTGTAGACATTTTTTTGAATTTCATTTCATTATTTTTTTATACAGCAGGTTCTTATTAGTTATCGATTTTATACATATTAGTGTATATATGTCAATCCCAATCTTCCAATTCATCCCACACCCCCACTTTCCCCACTTGGTCTCCATAGGTTTGTTCTCTACATCTATGTCTCTATTTCTGCCTTGAAAACTGGTTCATCTGTACCATTTTTCTAGACTCCACATATATGCGTTAATATACAATATTTGTTTTTCTCTTCTGACTTACTTCACTCTGTATGACAGTTTCTAGGTTCATCCATGTCTCTACAAAAGACCCAGTTTCATTCCTTTTTATGGATGAGTAATATTCCATTGTATATATGTACCACATCTTCTTTATCCATTCATCTGTTGATGGACATTTGGGTTGGTCTATGACCTGGCTATTGTAAATAGTGCTGCAGTGAACATTGGGGTGCATGTGTCTTTTTGAACTATGGTTTTCTCTGGGTATATGCCCAGTAGTGGGATTGCTGGGTCATATGGTAATTCTATTTTTAGTTGAACAGAACCTCCATACTGTTCTCTATAGTGGCTGTATTAATTTATATTCCCACCAACAGTGCAAGAGGGTTCCCTTTTCTCCACACCCTCTCCAGCAATTGTTGTCTGTAGATTTTCTTTTTATGGGGGGGCGGATTTTTTTTTTATTCAAACAGAAAGTCACAAAAATTATGATCATCCTCATCAGTTCACTCAGTCCCATGTAATTAATTTTTTTCATCTTGATCTTTTGTTAGAATTTTATGAATTCATCAGTTTTCCATTAGAGTTCTGAAAATGCTTATTCATTCAGTTCAGCAGTATACTCAGTTACCAGAAACCTGTACTCGTCAGAGTCTTTCCATGAATTACTTGAAGATGAAACACTTTTATAGGAACATTTTTGCAAAAGCATCAGAGTACACCCAGAACTGTCTGTAAATGACAAAAGACTTAAAAATGACCATGGTTAAAGATTTGATGAAAGTTCATAATAATGCAATTGACAAGAAAAATTAGTTATTTCTGAGATATACATTTTAAAGTAATAACTAGATTTATGACTTATAACATTATACCAGAACATATACGATTTTTAGAAATTTCATGTAATGTCTGAAACATTTACATTAACATATTTCCATACAAATAACCCAAAGAAAGTTTAGTATCAGTTGTTTTTTTTGTTGTTTGTTTGGTTTTTTACACTGCAGGTTCTTATCAGTCATCAATTTTATACACATCAGTGTATACATGTCAATCCCAATCGCCCAATTCAGCACACCACCATCCTCACCCCACCGCAGTTCTCCCCCCTTGGTGTCCCTAAGTTTGTTCTCTACATCTGTGTCTCAACTTCCGCCCTGCAAACTGGTTCATCTGTACCATTTTTCTAGGTTCCACATACATGAGTTAATATACGATATTTGTTTTTCTCTTTCTGACTTACTTCGCTCTGTATGACAGTCTCTAGATCCATCCATGTCTCAACAAATGACCCAGTTTCTTTCCTTTTTATGGCTGAGTAATATTCCATTGTATATATGTACCACATCTCCTTTATCCATTCGTCTGTCGATGGGCATTTAGGTTGCTTCCATGACCTGGCTATTGTAAATAGTGCTGCAATGAACATTGGGGTGCCCGTGTCTTTTTGAATTATGGTTTTCTCTGGGTATATGCCCAGTAGTGGGATTGCTGGATCACATGGTAATTCTATTTTTAGTTTTTTAAGGAAGCTCCATACTGTTCTCCATAGTGGCTCTATCAATTTAAATTCCCACCAACAGTGCAAGAGGGTTCCCTTTTCTCCACACCCTCTCCAGCATTTGTTGTTTGTAGATTTTCTGATGATGCCCATTCTAACTGGTGTGAGGTGATACCTCATTGTAGTGTTTATTTGCAGTTCTCTAATTATTAGTGATATCAAGCAGCTTTTCATGTGCCTCTTGGCCATCTATATGTCTTCTTTGGAGAAATGTCTATTTAGGTCTCCTGCCCATTTTCTGATTGGGTTGTTTGTTTTTTTAATATGGAACTGCATGAGCTGTTTATATAATTTGGAGATGAATCCTTTGTCCATTGATTCGTTTGCAAATATGTTCTCCCATTCTGAGGGTTGCCTTTTTGTCTTGTTTATATTTCCTTTGCTGTGCAAAAACTTTTAAGTTTCATTAGGTCCCACTTGTTTATTTTTGTTTTTATTTCCATTACTCTAGGAGGTGGGTCAAAAAAGATCTTGCTGTGATTTATGTCAAAGAGTGTTCTTCCTATGTTTACCTCTAAGAGTTTTATAGTGTCCGGTCTTACATTTAGGTTTTTAATCCGCCTTGAGTTTATTTTGGTGTATGGTGTTAGGGTGTGTTCTAATTTCATCGTTTACATGTAGCTGTCCAGTTTTCTGAGCACCACTTATTGAAGAGACTGTCTTTTCTCCACTGTATAGCCTTGCCTCCTTTGTTATAGATTAGTTGACCATAGGTGCGTGGGTTTATCTCAGGGCTTCCTATCCTGTTCCATTGATCTATATTTTGGTTTTTGTGCCAGTACCATACTGTCTTGATTACTGTAGCTTTGTAGTAGAGTCTGAAGTCAGCGAGTCTGATTCCTCCAACTCCATTTTTTCTGCTCAAGATTGCTTTGGCTATTTGGGGTCTTTTGTGTCCCCATACAAATTTTAAGATTTTTTTGTTCTAGTTCTGTAAAAAATTCCATTGGTAACTTGATAGGGATTGCATTGAATCTGTAGATTTCTTTGGATAGTATAGTCGTTTTCACAATATTGATTCTTCCAATCCAAGAACACAGTATATCTCTCCATCTGTTTGTGTCATTTTTTCTTATGTTTTATTAATTATTTTTTTAAACTTATTTATGGCTGTGTTGGATCTTCGTTGCTGTGTGTGGGCTTTTCTCTAGTTGTGGTGAGTGGGGGCTGCTCTTCATTGCGGTGCGCCAGCTTCTCATTGCGGTGGCTTCTCTTGCTGCAGAGCACGGGCTCTAGGCGTGTGGGCTTCAGTAGTTGTGGCACACAGGCTCAGTAGTTTTGGCTCGCGGGCTCTGGAGCACAGGCTCAGTAGTTGTGGCGCATGGGCTTAGCTGCTCTGCAGCATGTGGGATCTTCCTGGACCAGGGCTCGAACCCGTGTCCCCTGCATTGGCAGGCAGATTCTTAACCACTGTACCAGCAGGGAAGTCCTGTGTGTGTCATCTATGATTTCTTTCATCTGTGTCTTATGGTTTTCTTTCTTTTGTTTTTTTTTTTTTGGACCTGCAGGGATGGCGCCTTTTTTAAAAAATAGATTTATTTTATTTTATTTATTTTTGGCTGCATTGGGTCTTTGTTGCTGTACGCGGGCTTTCTCTAGTCACAGTGAGCGGGGGCTACTCTTCGTTGCGGTGCATGGGCTTCTCATTGTGGTGGCTTCTCTTTCTGTGGAGCACGGGCTCTAGGAGCATGGGCTTCAGTAGTTGTGGCACATGGGCTCAGTAGTTGTGGCTTGCAGGCTCTAGAGCACAAGCTCAGTAGTTGTGGCTCACGGGCCTAGTTGCTCCGCGGCATGTGGGATCTTCCGAGACCAGAGCTCGAACCCGTGTCCCCAGCATTGGCAGGCAGATTCTTAACAACTGTGCCACCAGGGAAGCCCTCTTATGGTTTTCTGAGTACAGGTCCTTTACCTCCTTAGGTAGGTTTATTCCTAGGTATCTTATTCTTTTTGTTGCAATGGTGAATGGGGTTGTTTCCTTGATTTCCCTTTCTGATCTTTCATTGTTAGTGTATAGGAATGCAAAAGATTTCTGTGTATTAATTTTGTATCCTGCAACTGTACCAAATTCATTGATTAGCTCTAGTAGTTTTCTGGTGGCATCTTTAGGATTATCTGTGCATAGTATCATGTCATCTGCAAACAGTGACAGTTTTATTTCTTTTCATATTTGGATTCCTTTTATTTCTTTTTCTTCTCTGATTGCCATGGCTAAGAATTCCTAAAAAAGAAAAGAAAAAAAAAAGTGAAAAAAAAAAGTGTGGACATTTTTGTCTTGTTCTGATCTTAGAGGAAATGCTTTCAGTTTTTTACCATTGAGAATGATGTTTGCTGGGGGGGTTGTCGTATATGGCCTTTATTATGTTGAGGTAGGTTCCCTCTATGCCCACTTTATGGAAAGCTTTTATCATAAATCGGTGTTGAATTTTCTCAAAAGCTTTTTCTGCATCTATTGACATGATCACATGGTTTTTATTCTTCAGTTTGGTAATATGGTGTATCACATTGATTGATTTGCGTATATTGAAGAATCCTTGCATCTCTGGGATAAATCCCACTTGATCATGGTGTGTGATCCTTCTAATGTATTGTTGGATTCTGTTTGCTAGTATTTTGTTGAGGATATTTGCATCTATATTCATCAGTGATATTGGTCTGTAATTTTTTTTTGTAGTATCTTTGTCTGGTTTTGGTATCAGGGTGATGGTGGCCTCATAGAATGAGTTTGGAAGTGTTCCTTCCTCTGCAAGTTTTTGGAAGAGTTTG